AATAATAATCTATTCATTTATTTAAATTTTTTTCTCTTATTTGAAACACTGATATCTTTCCTTTCTTTCTTTCTTTTTTTTTTTTAAGTAATTGTTTATTTCAAAAGGCAAAGTTACAGATAAGAGAGATTGTCTACCTGTTGGCTCATTCTGCAGGTAACTGTAATGGCCAGCAGTGGGTCAGATCAAAGCCAGAAGCTTCTTCTGGGTCTTCCACGTGGGTGCGGGCACTCAAGGACTTGGGATTCTCTCATTGCTTTCCCAGATGTTTTAGCAGGGAGATGGATCAGAAATGGAACAGTAAAGACACAAACCAGGGCCCTAATGCAACGCCAGCATTGTAGGCAGCAGCTTTCTCTGCCACAACCCTGGCCCCAAGAGATTCTCTTTCACCTGCTGGTTCACTTCCCAAATACCTACAACAGCCAGGGCTGGGTTGAGACTAAAACCAAGAGCCCAGGACTCTATCTGCCATGTGAGTAGCAGCAAGGACCCAAGTACTTGAGACAGCACCTGCTGCATTCCCAGGGCCTGCGTGAGCAGGAAGCTGGAGCCAGGTGCTGCAGCCAGGGATCGCCCTGTTCTCCACTGCCAGGGCTAGGTACCTGCTTTTTCTCCTGGTTTCTCTGGCCGCTCTATCTCTGCTGTTCCCCAAGTAACTGAAAGGCTGGTGCCAGGGTGTCATCAGCACCCTAGCTGAAGAATCCTGTGACTACCACCGTGCATACACCTCAGCAGGTCCCAGTGTGCACTTCCCGAGCCTGGTATGTGAGGGCCTCTCGAGACATAGGAACAAATTGGGTCTTGGGCCAGGGCAGTGTCCTCAGACAAATCCTCTGGAGCAGACGTCTGTGAGGATCATGTAAGGGGTCAAGCAACAGGATCTCCATGCTAGTGGTGTGCTCTGATCTGGAGCAGTGGAAGAGTTCTGCTACCGTGAGTTAGGCACAGAAGGCCCCTCCCATGTGTTTCTGATATTCCCCAAGGGGCCCAGTCCTGGCTTCACACTTGAAGAGACAGTGACCCAGAAAAAAGAATTGATTCTTCCAAGGTCATCGCATTGCTGGAAATCCAGAAGGTTTCAGAGTCTCTCCCACAGGCATAGGGACATGAAAGTGCATCTGCTATGGCTCCACTCTCATAGAGGGAAGATAGTCACTGGGAAGTTTTGCAGGCTCCAATGATGGGCCAATGGGCAGAGCAGCCAGCCGCTCACAGCAGGAATCTGAGACAGACAGACTGAGACAGGGGAGCCTGATTTTCTGGGCTGGACACCCCCTGCCTGGGACTGACTGGTGCCCAGCATCGATGTCTGTGATGCCTCCTCTCTCCCAAAAAAAGATCAGAGAGTGTGGCACTTGTTAGGCATCACAGCTAATACAGCATTCCGAACATCATACATCCAGAAAATACCTGAATCTCTGGATTCTCAGGCCCCTTCTCAGGGCCCACTGCTACTCCACCTGTGCCAGTTTGAAGCCCTCGGTACCAGGTCAGACATAGCAGAACCATTTTCAGCACCCCCCCTCTCCCATTAAATACCATAGTATTGGTTCTGTCACTACCCTCTTTGCTATCACTGGGGTAATTGCAGTTGAATTCTAAGTGATGCCCTGGTCTTGCCCACCACCAGCCACACCAACACCCTAGCCACCACACTGCCACCAGTGCCTTGTCAGCACGGTTCCTGAGCTCCAACATCTCCAATGACTTTCCATGGCATTGAGAGTCCAACAGCGATGGGCCACTTCCCTCCCTGTCACCTGTCTGTCCCCACCTCACCAGAACCTCTCACTGGAACCTCAGTGTACCTTCTTGTCCTTGCAGACACCTTACCCTCTGAGCCTGCTGGCTAGGAAACTCCTACTCATCCCACAACACCCCTTTCCGAATGCGTCCCCTGTCCCTTTGTTTCTCCAGGAAGTCTACAACAACACCACCACCCCCGCTCCCCAAACACCTGCCATGTATTTGTACCTACTTGGATTTTCCCATCTTGCTTCCATACTTTTATTTGCACCCTTTGTCATAACACGTTAAAATTGTGTGTGTGTGTTTTCACTCTGGACCCTGGACCCTCAGAGTTGGCTATTCGATTCCTTGGGTTTGCACTGTTATGGTTCTTGCCAGATGTCTGTTTTTCTGTCCTGTTGCCAGAGGCCTTGGGTTCTGGATTCCTCTGTCTGATTAGGCAACAGGAAACTGAGCAAACTCAGGAGGGGACCCTGAGGGCTCTCGCCTTTATCCTCAGTCCTAATCACTTAACTTCAAAATAAGCTCTGTAACACCTCTAGTCACCAGGCTTATCAGACTGACTATCAAAGGATGTTTGATGTTGTCATTTAAGCGATAAAAATCCCATCACTTGGGGAAGAAGGAGCACCCCGGCCTGCTGTGAATGGCAGCCAGGTGGCAGTGCCTCAGATCACCTGCTGGGCTTCTGAAAGGCAGCAAGCAGCCCTTGGAACCCAGCACATTCCTGGGGCACAGAGTGCGGAAAGCCACGGTGAAGGGAAGACGGCAGGCTATTCTGCAGAAGACAAAGAGACGCTGAGATTGTTATGTATGGCATAAAAAGGGCACATTGGTGGATAGTACATATTTTTTTAAAAGATTTATTTATTGAACCCCAGTGAAATGGCTCATTTGGTCTTGCAAATGCTGGGATTCCACATGGGCACCAGTTCATGGCCAGGCTGCTCCACTTTCCCAACCAGCTTCCTGCTTGTGGCTTGGGAAAGCAGCGAAGGCTGACCCAGTTCTTTGGAATGCTGCATCGGGAAGAAGCTCCTGGCTCCTGGCTTCAGATTGGTTCAGCTATGGTCGTTGCTGCCACTTAGGGAGTGAACAGAAGACCTTTCTCTCTATTTCTCTTTCTCTCCATAAATCAGATTGGCCTTTCATTCCCCAAATGGCCACAATGACCAGAGCTGAGCTGAGATGATCTGAAGCCAAGAGCCAGGAGCTTCTGGGTCTCTCACTTGAGTTCAGGGTCCCAAGGACTTAGGCCGTCCTCTGCTACTTTCCAAGGTGTGTTAGCAGGGAGCTGGATGGGAAGTAGACAGCCAGGACACAAAGCAGTGCCCATATGGGATGCTGATGCTGTATGTGGAGAATTAGACTGTGCAACCACTGCACCAGCCCCTTTAGATTGTACATTTTTAAAGGTTTATTTATTTATTTATTTATTTATTTATTTATTACCTTTAAGAGAGAGGGAGAGATGGGGAGAGAGAGAAAGAGAAGAAAAGAAAAAAATAAAGGAGAGAAGTGAGAAACAGAGATCTTTCATCTGCTAGTTCATTGACATGGACATAATAACCAGGGATTAGACCAGGCCAAGCCAGCAGCCAAGAATGTCATCCTTGTCTCCCGCATAGGGGTGGGGGGCCCAAGCACTGGGGCCATCCTTTGCTGCTCTCCCAGGTGTGTTAGCAAGGAGCTGGATGGGAAGTGGAGCCACTGGGACTCGAACTGGCACTCACATGGGATGCTGGCATTGAAAGGCTTAACTCACTGCACCATGATGCTAGACCAGATTTTAAAATTTGTTTCAATTTCATGTTGTTTTCAAAGGCAGGGAGAGAGTGAGAATTTTTATCCACTGATTCATTCCTCAGTACCCATGACACACAGGAGTGATCCAGGTTGAAGCCTGGAGCCTGGAACTCCGTCCAGCTCTGCCGTGTAAGTCGCAGGAATCCAAGCTCTCTGGCCCTCACCTGCTGCCTCCCTGGGTGCTCAACAACAGGACGCTGGATGGGAAGGGAAGAAGCAGGAATTTAGACAAGGTACTTGGCTGTGGGATGCAGGCATCCTAGCAGTGCGACCTGAGCTCTGTGCCACACCTCCCGCCCCCACATCCATTTTTTAATTTAGAGCAGCTGCTGCTTACCCCTGAGACCACACTGAAGACAATGAGAACAATGAAGAAAGTTCTAGATTATTCTGCTTCTAAAGTACTCCAGCACAAATCTATATATTACTCAATTGCCTTCTCTAACTGTCCAGCTGTGGGGTGTGTGTGCAGCAGAGAAGACGAGACAAAACAAACAATAAAGCAGAAGTTTTTAAAAGGCCAAATGGGGACAAAGTTGGAAATGCACAGAATTCCACTTTCAGCCAGTGGTTCTGCTGTAACCCAAGTTACATCTGCAGCTCACAACATGGGAATCCACAATTTCTGAAGGAATAGTATTAAGTCTCTGTATAAAAATTCTGCACATCATCCCATCAGCACCCAAGTAGCCTTTTTTTTTTTTAAAAGAATGTATTTTTATTGGAAAGTCAGATTTATAGAGAGAAAGATCGGCCAAGAGCTGGTCCGAAGCCAGGAGCCAGGAGCTTCTTCCAGGTCTCCCACACAGGTGCGGGGGGCCCAAGGACTGGGGCTGTCTTGTAAAGTCCTTTGGAAAGTGCCCTGGATCCAGGCAGAAGAGACTTCCTGGTTGCACGTGCAGCGAGCAAGTGGGCGCCACGGCGAGCTGCAGCCAGGAGGCGTGGTCCCTTCCCGGCCGTTCTCTTGCAGCCCGGATCCTGGGCTGTGGGATTCACTGTGGCTTAGCCATGAGTGCAGAGGCCTGAGCCGCCGCCTGGGGTTCCCGGCGGTAGGAAACACCGGTGCCTTTGATATTGACATCCTGCTGGCGCGCGAGCTCTTTGAACTCACTTTGATAGTCGGTAATTAGGAGCTCGGTGTACCCCGAGGAGAAGCCGCCACGGCCGCCCCTGCCTTCTCTCTTCTCTCTCTCTCCCTCCCGCTTCTTGAGCCCGCGTTTTGAACTATCGATCAAACAGATTCGGAGGGATTTGTTGCAGCCTGTGTGGAGGTCAGAAGGAAGGAAATGGGGGGTGCAGGGACGAGAATGACGGGGGTGGGGCGCTTTCTGTTATAAGGAGCCGACCCGAGGGGCACCAGGGTGTGCGAGGAGGCGCAGGCGAAGGTGTAGGTGCAGGCGGTGGGCTGTGTCCCGGCGTTGGGACAGAGCACGGCAGGGAGCATGGTGGCTCTGGTCCTGCTAGGGCTCAGCTGGCTCTGCACACCACTGGGAGCTCTGGTGCTGGACTTCAACGATATCAGAAGCTCCGCCGACGGGCAGGGGGCGCGCCAGGTAAGGCAGCAGTGGCCGGGGTAGCCGGGCGACGCCGGGAGGGCAGCGGGTTCTGGTGCTGGCATCCTATTTTCTCCCGGTTACAGACTCAGGGACCCAAAGTCACTCCCCTCAGGCCATACAGCCTGGACCCTGGGGAAGTCCAGAGGAAACTCTCATGGAATAAGTTTATTTTGGTGCAAGAATGACACTCATGCCCATGAACGGATTTTCAAAAAGCTCATGAAAAATGATTTTTTTCAAAAAACATGCACCAAATTGATCATATTTTAAAATTAATTTTATTTATGTGAAAGGCAGCCTGACCAAGAGGGAGAAACAGAGGGGAGAGAGAGAGGTGCTATTTCTGCTTGTTTACTCCACAAATGCCCACAGAGGCTGCAGCCAGGAGCCAGGAACTCCACTCCATGTGGGTCTCTTAGCTAGGTGACAAGAACACAAGAACTTGGCCATTGTCTGTGGTCTGCCAAGTGTGTCCGCAGGAAGCTGGCTTGGAAACCACATAGCTGGGTCTACGCTGATAGGGATGCGGGTGTCCCAAGTGGCACCTGAACTCACACTGTCACAACACCTGTCCCAAACCCATGTTTATAACCTGCAGAAAAGTAGCCTTGTATATTATGGATGCTACAGATAGTATCTGTTATCTACAAAGAAAGCATCAGCTGCAGAAGCCAGCTGATCTTGCTTTTTCTTCACTTCACTGCAAATCAAGTCAGCTGGCTCATTTAGGGAAGGCTTATGGAGACAAGTGGGTACCCAGTGCCAGATGCAGTAAGAAAATCCAATGGGGAAGTCACAGACACGAGGATCCTGTTCAACTGAACTGGAAATCTCAGCATGCTCCATGAGACACACACAGAGACAAACTGCCCTCCTGTACTCACCCAACTAGGACGGTAGAATCCTGAGTTTGACCCACCCCTTCCAGTGCCTTATATCCCCTGTGTGGGGGCACTGCTTTGTCACCTTCCATGTGTTACTGTGACTCAGCCCTGCCTCCTGCCCTGAATTCAATAGCATCTTGCCATCCTGTCAGGTGGCCCCAGCTCATGCAGCCCTTTCCTTCCACAGGGCTCACAGTGCCTATCTGACAAGGACTGTGGTTCCAGAAAGTTCTGCCTCCAGCCACGTGATGAGAAGCCTTTCTGTGCCATGTGTCGGGGGCTGCGGAAGAGGTGCCAGCGAACCACCATGTGCTGCCCAGGGATGCTCTGTGTGAACGGTAAGGTCATGGCCCCTGCCGGCTACTGGGCTCCACCTAGTAGAACATGCCAAGACTGATCCTCTCCCGTGGACCCAGACTGCCTTTTCTTGGTGACTCCTTGGCCACAGTGCTTGTTGGGGAATTGGAGACAATGCTTTTGAAGGGAGGATTTATGTTCCAATCATTTGGGATCATTTAAACTCTCCCCCTCCTTTTTATAAAATTGGGTTGTGTTAATTATCTAGCTGCCTTCTTTGCCACCTGTGAGTATATAAACAGCCGGTGTAGTCCTAGGAATGATGCCCAGAGGGGCACTAACAAAATGTACAACCATGAACATGGCTGATGCTGAAGGGTTTTTTTTAAACTCTGTCCCACCTGGCGGTCCTACAGATGTTTGTACCACAGCACAAGATGTGGCCACCGGACTGGAAAGACAAGCCGAGGACCAGGGCGGCACAGATACAAGAGGGGCGACAGAGCATCCGATCGCCGAGAGCCAGCCCAAAAGGAAATCTAACATTAAGAGATCGCAGGGCGGCAAGGGTGAGTACAGCCTCCTGAGCAGGTCATGCTGGGTCCAAGGAAACCATTGGTCACTCTCAGACTAGGCATGAGGCCTCTTGAGTTCAGAGACACAAGGAACACGGCCTGCTGGTCATCCCTTCTCAGGGGAAGCCTCATGGGGCAGTAGCATATGGTAGCCAGAAGGCCAGGAAGAAAAGGAAGAGCCACTTCCTAGGTCTGGTCAGCAGGGAAAGCTTAGTTCACTGTGTGCCCTCACACACTACATATAGTCCATAAAAATTCTAGTCCATGTTACAAAATAGACCTGGGAACAGAAGGGTAGCTTTTCAGCCTATGTGAGATACAAGGTCACTAGGGTGCAGCTATATGTTTATCAACAAACATTGCAATGTCGGATTCTAGTCCAGGCCATTCTGCCGCCCCATGACAGAACAGCCTTTACACCAGTGTACGTCCCACTTAGTACGACATTGTTACTCATTTTGTTTCTCAAGGCTGGAAATTGCACGTTTCCCTGATGAATGAGTTAATTTTATAAAACAGAGTCCTCATAGGAAGGGCTGGAATTTTCACTTCATCATGGCTTCCAGCATGAGGTCCAGCTTTGACACCTGGTCCTGTTCCCATTTTTCTCTTGTAGCTATCAGCCCTAGATACCGAACCGCCCCCCAGCAGTAGCAGCCCCACTGCTCAGCAGTCCCCACTCTTTGCTCAAGCCCACATGTTATCTTTTCACAGGACAAGAAGGTGAGAGTTGCCTCAGAACTTCTGACTGTGGGCCTGGCCTCTGCTGTGCCCGCCATTTTTGGACTAAGATTTGCAAACCTGTCCTGCAGGAGGGGCAGGTCTGCTCAAGGAGGGGGCAGAAAGAGACTGGTCAGGCACCAGAGATCTTCCAGCGCTGCGACTGCGGCCCTGGACTGTCGTGTCAAAGCCAGGCGGCCGGCCGGCGACAGCACACACGGTTAAGAGTGTGCCAGAAACACAGGTAGCAAGCTGCAATTACTCTGCAACATAGCAGGGTCCTCGGGGCTTCAAGTGGTATCCTGGACACTAATGCACAAGTGTCTTCCATGACCAGCCCTCCAGCAAGATACAGTTGGAAAAGACTGTCAAGAGTGGAAATGGCCTACACTCTTTGTCTATTTCTCCACAATACTGATGTGGGTCTAGAAACAAAAGTTTCTAATTCTGATGTAGTGACTCAGTGAGTTCAAATAAATCGTGTAAAAACAAACTGAAATTGTATATATTTAAGGTATACAGTATGATGTTCTGACATACACAAGCTGATGAACAACCTGCAAACGAACCTTTAGGAAGTGTCTGGTGAAAGGCTGGTATCTGACAGTGTCTTAAGGAAAAATAAACAGATGGTATGTGAAGTTAAAAGGAAATGAATTCTTGTAACTTAATAGGGGCTAATGATAAATACTACATTTATCCTTTAAAACTCTATTGTTAAAATCATTGTTTGAAAAAAAAACACTATTGTTTATTTACCCCTCATGTCTCAGAAGGGAAAGATATTTCACTACAAAACAATTTTGTTATTAAAGAACCAGGGACCAGAGCCGTGATGTTGTAGGCTAAGTCTCTGCCTGCAGTGCTGGCAGCTCATATGGCCACTGGTTCGAGTTCAAGCTGTTCTACTTATCAGCTCTCTGCTTCTGGCCTGGAAAAGCACTGGCATATGGCCCTGGTACTTGGGCCCTGCACCCTCATGGGAGACTCAGAAGCTCCTAGTTCCTGATTGGCTTAGCTCTGGCCATTGGGGAGTGAACCAACTGATGGAAGACCTCTCTCTGTAAATCTGCCTTTCAAATAAAAATGATTTTTTTTAAAAAAAGGGATTCAAATGTAGTAATATCTTTGTAGTAATTGCCTTTGACAATCAGATAGCATTTTCACACATTTGGTTTTCAGTAGCTGTATTTACTACCTGATAACTTCGATTTATAGAAAGGCAGAACAGGAGAGACAGAGAGAGAGCTCCCATCCACTAGTTCGCTCCTCAAATGGCTGCAACAACCAAGGTTTGGCCAAGCCAAAGCTGGGAGCCAGGAACCCCACACTGGTACCCTGTACCCTGGGTAACTAGGATCCAAGCACTGTGGTGACCATCCACTGTCTTCCCAGACAGATTAGTAGGGAGCTGGATCTGGTTGGAATAGCTAGGACTAAACCAGCACTCCAACCCGGGATGCCAACACTGAAAGTAGTGGCTTAACTCACTGAGCCACAACGTTGTCCCCTTGATAATGTTTTTAAAAAAGATTTATATATTTATTTGGAAATCAGAGTTACACACTATTTGCTGGCTTGTCTCCCAAATGGCGATAATAGCTGAGGAAGGCCCGACTGAAGCCAGGGTCCTGAGGTTCCATCCGGGTCTTTCCTGTGCATGTAAAGGGCTCAAGCACTGGGGTCACCTTCTGCTGCCTTTCCAGGCATATGAGCAGCAATCTGAATTGGAAATGGAACAGCTGGGACATGGAGCAGCACTCACATGGGATGTTAGTTTGTCAGGCAGCAACTTAACTCACTGCATGACAACTCTGTGATCATTTGTACTTAATCCTCACTTTGGAGGGAAAGCCAGGCAGAAAAAAATGTAAGTTTTGTTTGAAATCTAAGAAGCTCTATTTGTGTACAATAGAAGTTGGTTTTAAGAGAGCTCTTGCTTCAAATTTCATTTAGGAGCTAAACCATTCCCTGTTGTTTAAGTTATAAATATGTTTTACAAAACTGACTTTAGGCTAAAGAAAACATTAAATTTATGAAGACTCCTAGTTTCTTAAAAAAATCTTGAACCGTCTTCTAGAAGAAACCAGCCTCTGAGGTGCCTTGACTGAGCAGTTCCTATCAGCAAAGGAAAGAAGATGGTCATGTGATATCCAGCACATAAATGAGAAAAGAAAAACTCCCTTTAAGGTTTTACTGTCATCTCGTATTTCTGTCTCCTAAAGCCACAGCAATGTGAAGATAAACACATCAATTTAAACAGGACATACTTGCTAAGAAGATAAAACATCCAGTGCTGGTCAATACATTTTATTGACTATAGCGCAAGCTGGGCATGAAGAAGAACAGTCACTTAAAACACCAAAGACCCTTACATAGCAAAGGTTACAGAATAAATTAAGACTCCTGGCAGCTGTGCCTGGGAGAAGATCAGGCCTCATTCGCTCCTATCCTTGGGCTCTCGGTACTTCCACTGGATGTAATCAAAGATGTCTTTCTCACTATCCACTGGCAGGGGCTCTCCAGCAACTCCTGCAAGTGGAGAGACAAAGGAAATTTCTTCTGAGAACCAGTTTTGGAGTGATAGCAGGATCAGCATAGAGAGTTCTGTGGGATTTGCTCTTAGGGGAGGAAAAAAATGGTAACCAGGCCAATAGTGAGAAGGCCCTGGCCACCTCCTCCCACACGTGTGAGCTTTGTCACATGCATGACAGTTGTTCTTGGAGAGACCGAGTATCCTGCTTCTGGCAATAGAAGCAGCTTTTATTCCTAACTTTCCTCTGTGCTGGCCATTAGGTGCTACAGGGCCTAAGGAGCCAGTGTGCCCATGAAATTCAAGATGTGCTCTCCCAGTCTGCTGGTATAGGAGTTCTACTTCACACTTTAGGACACAGTGGGTGAAAAGTCACTTCCTGGCCAGGAACAGCAAGCATGGTGCACTGTGAGAAATGCTAACAGCTAGTGAGCACAGATCATAAGATCCTTTTCTTTCAACTTTGAAAACCTGGGGCCAAGACTAGCTGGTTTTGAGATGCACTCAAAGCAATGAAGTAGAAATGACTGCGACCAGTTCCACCCCAACAGAGCTGTGGGCCTTGCTTGCTCCTGGCCAAGATCCCACAAGGCTTTTTAAGGACAACTAAATTTGCTAGGCCCAAATGTCTTTGGGCATAACCTCCTCTCGAGGTGACAGGGTTGTCTGTACTGCAGGCCCGTTACTCACCAGTGACTCCCACGGGACGGATGGTGTATTCATTGATTGTGAAGCCCTTTTCCAAGGCATGGGCTCTCATATTCTTATTGAAAATGTCACTCCCAGTGAAATAGAGAACACCACAGTAATACTGATCTTTGGGAATCAACCTGAAAAAGCCAACAGGAAATACATTTTTTGGTTACATATTCAAATTAAGCAACCACATGACTCCTACAATTTGTGAAAAGGAGACAGACCATTGCAGTTTCATTGAACTGGGCTATGCATTGGGATGCAGAAATGAAAAGCCATAGTGCTTCCTACATCTAGCCATGGCGGGAAATGAATTCTGAGATGTGGATGGCGCTGTCAGGGGCTGCAATCTTGAGAAAGTCAGCTACAGCCTGCGCACGGGGATGGCTCTCTATAGATTTTCAGGCTTGGGGTGGGGGGTAGGGGGAAAGGAATACAGCCCTTTGGCAGAAAAAGGAGGCTGAGGCATTCAGGCTAAGGCCAGGACCTTTAGAAGGGACTGGGTGGGGGAAACAGGTGCTTGGCGCCAGAGCTCCTAGTGGTACCTGATATCAATTCTTCGGTGTGGATATTCCTTGTCATCATTTTCGCTGGGAAGCTGGCAAACACCCTAAAATGGACATTTTAAAGGATAAAGATCTCTTAAACTGATGGCTTATTTTAACCTAAGGCTTAATACAGCTTTTACTAGATGTCAGTTCTAGAATTCTGAGTACTTCCATTTGGCAGTTTCTCTAGACTCTATATTAACTCCTCATTTCTGTTATACCTTCTGTTAGAAAGCTACATACAATAGTAAACGAGAATTAAAGTTGCATATATTTGGCCTGGGTTGGATTTTAAACATGAAACTAACCTCAGCACCAGCAAGAAAGGAACCAAAACAAAGAAACAACTGAGAAAAAACAAAACAAAAAATAATGATGTCAGTAACATACCAGTTACTGTGAGCTAGTCCACTCATGAAGGCAGAACACTCGAGAAAAAGAACCCCCAGGGGAAAGATTTACATCAAAATTTTAAAAAAAAAGTAGCACAGCAAAGCAGAAGAGTTTGAAATTGGGGAAGTGTCTCAGAAATTACAAGAGAATGAGAGGATTCTCCTCCTTTCCTGGTACTGAATCCTCACTATACTTCCAGTTAGCAGAGAATAATAGTCAGTCTGTTTTGTTATATTTTCTCTTTCTAGAAACATGAGAAAGCTTTGTGAATGGAGCAACAACCCCCTCACATGAGTATGTATAAAGAGCTCTTTGTAGCACTCAAGTTCAAGCTCAGGGTGTCAAGTGCTGCACTGCAAGAACTGCACACGACTGACAGGCTCAGGTCAGTCACACAAGTGGCCAAGAGCCACTCTGCACTCAACAAGTTTGACATGGGCATTTCCTGCAGCCACCCCGATGGCTGAGAGATTTCATCAAACCCAGTAACCTGCAAAACAGAAGCCCTAACTTCATGGGCAGTGACAAGTTCCAACTCAACTCCCACCTTGCAATGGCTCTGGAAAGCCTTCCTTCTGGAATTCCCAGGAGGTCTGCATGTCTTCCCCTCATGGGTGAGGACCTGCCTGTGTGTCACTGCAGCGATGCAATTTCACCTAATGGCTTTGTTCCTGCTTTCCTCAAGGCCGAGTTCATCTCCTGCTGTCCCCAACTGTGAATGTTACAGAATCTCTCCAAATTACCGTATCACTGCATACATTCTTTACTAGGTTGAGTGGATTAAGTGCTAACTGGCAAGTCAGTCCAGGAACTTTGTGGTGAGTGAAAGAGAAAACAATGTCTCTTCCATTTTCCTCTCTTCCACTGTCTTTTGAATCCTTATTTGTAGATATTTCACAGAAAATTAGTAAGGGTCAAACTTGTATCAAATACTAAATTTGGTACTCATGGAATAATAATAGTTAATAGCTAAACCAGGTGGGAAGCAGAGCTCAATGACGTAGCAGCCTGGGGAATCTTCTACATTACTGTCCTTTCATTTTTTATGCCTTCTTTTGCTCCACCTTCCTCTCCTGAC